TCGGGAAATGTACAGTAATACAGCTGCAAGCTCACGCGAGCATTGCCGCGTGCCGACGTCTTATACAAAATAATTGTGTAAAAATGCTGAAATTCACTCCCAAAGCCACTAATAATAAGAACACTATTATCACGTCAGATACCAGATTTCTTGCCAAGTAATTTTACACAAAACTTATAAAATTAATAATACTTCAAGTATCCTCACACCAAAAAGAAAGAAAAATGGAGCACTGCGTATATTTCAAGTGATGTGAAAACCAAGCCAAAACCACTACTCAATTTAACTCACTTACATACAGGTATGCATTTATCATCATTTGCAACCATTAACACGGTTATAGGTGGATATGTGTGCACACTTTTACGGGCTTATAAAGAAAGAAAGAGGAGAGATGTGTGCGTGAGTGCGTGTCAAAAAGTTGAGCATGGTATCGTCTTCACTAGAAGATTTTCTTCCTGTGTTGGTCTGAACAAGTATCAAGTTAGTTAGGTATAATATATAAAATATGGCGATAAACTAGTTCAATGTGTGCGAATGTAAGTAGGCTTGCAATTCGAATACCTAAATTCTAGTATGTCAAAAATGTTACTATGTCCCAAAAATTAAGTTTGATGATTTTTTCCAGATTTCAATAAGCCACAATCTTGATTAGATAAAACATAGTAAAGTATTTTATTGATATCTGTAATAGTGACATATGTAAGTAGGGGCCTAATAATTATATCAACAAATTTTCGCCTTCCTTTTGAATAATAGATTTTTGCAAGGGCTTAACATCTGTAAAAATGTTATCTATACAGGCCGCCCTCGGTCTAACAATACGTGTAGGTTCTTAGAATAAATTAACAAGGTTATAATATTTAAACAATGAGCTAAACTTAATACTAATGGAAGAAGTTTCAAGAAGATTGATGTTAAAGTCTCCATGGGGGTCTGCAAACACTTATAACAATGAGGTGCTCGAGCACGACACTAGCCATATCTACAGTTCGCTCAACAAATATGCTTATAATATCCTTACGGTTTTTATATAATAATGATTTATCTTATAATATTAATGAACCATCACGTAAACTTTTTGTTCCATTGAAGAAACTGACCACCTGGTGATTTCTGAAATTAAACATGAAATTACAATCTTTTAGCCAATATTCAGCTATACAAAGGATGTGTATATTGAAACTATTAAAGACAATTCTACTTCCAATTCTTTGCCCATCATACCTTATATCTTTTGATGCACCAGGTGTAAACAATTTTTAACTTATTTGTGGGCTATAATCTTAATTAATTAAACTATTATTATTGCTTGAAATTGCCTCTTTTGTCACATTCCCTAATTTAAATTAGTTGGAACTAATTCCAAATTAAATTTTTAAATATCAAAATGATTTTACTGCTCTATAAAGTCAGTCTTAGTAGCCAAGAACGTGGCTGAGTTAAAATGTAAATAATAAGATAGCACATTCGCTACTAGCCTTAAACTATATTTTGATAGGTAATACCTATCATCTGTCAAAATGATAGGTATTACCTATCACCAGCCATGGGAACTCAGGAGCCAGTAATAGCGCCAAAGCTGAAATTATGCCAATTCTATCTATGAATAATAATTGTTCCTTATTAGGTTTTTATCCTTGTAATTTTATATATTGGACTGAAAAAAATTGTAAAGAAAAAAAAAGCAACTTATTAATCAAATTATCGTTCGTTTTTTCCGTTGAGTTTCTGCCATTTTAATGAAATTTGATTATGATTTTTCTATTTCAAATTCTGGTTAAAGGAGCGATTAATTTATATATTGAGATAATATAATTTCGCGTAAGTCATCGACTTTATATTTCAGATAAGCACATGGTTTGTAGCTTACGACGGAATTTCAGAACAAGAGCGATTTAATAAATAACACAAACTGTCTATGATATTGCTCTCATATTCAAAAACTCTTATTTTTCATAGTCATAAACAAAAACCAATAACAGATTTTTAAATCAGGAATTCCATGTCAAATGCTATGTATCAAACTTCAAACTCAGGTTTAAGCAAAACGGCAGTTTTATATGAGGAATTAATTAATTTTGACTGTACATCCCACACGACCGCGGTTTCCTATTCTTCACGAAACAAGTGCGGTTTATATGGAAAGAGAGAAAATAAAATATTGCAGAAATCAAATTAATTTTTGTATTTATTTTTTCATTTATACGTGTTACGGACTGTCTAATGGTATTAATAATTAGTAAAATATTTATTGATTTAATTCTTAAGAGCACTTGGATACAGATAATTAACACGTAATTAAAATAAGCGATAATCGGCAATTATAAGTGGTGATATTATAAGCTTAGCTACTAAGCTTTTATAATGGATCTGAAACATTGTTCCGTAAACAATACAATCTCCTAATAAGAAAACTTTAAGCGTCCTTAAAAACGTTTTACCTTATTTTTATGTATAAAAATATTCTTAAAACATAAGCATTTTACATTAATAAATACAAAAATAAGTGAGCCTGGCCTTTACGCGCTTGAAATAAAATTAGTTAATTACCTTATAATATTGTTCTTTATACTAAAATAAAATTCTCATATGATTATGTTTTAAATTTTATTGTAATTATTTATTTATTATTTTTAAATTATTAATACTTGTAAATAAAATATTTATTAATAAAAAATATTCATCATTATTAGTATTAAAATGTATCAACAACTTCGAGCTTTGTGCTCCCAACAACTACCGGTATAGATGTGCCATGCACGTTACACGTGGTCTTTGTTTTGTCCATGTTCATTTTTAACGGATAGTTATAGGGTACTATTAAGGTCATTGAACATAGTACTTCGGTCCTCCAGGGATTCTGCCATAAGGACTACATCGTCGACAAATCGAAGGCGAGTGATGTGTTCGCCCCTTAACGTGTATAACTGAAAATTGTTTAATATAATTTGTACGAGGGCGGCACAGAAAATTTCGGGAATCAAGGAAGTGACACAAAATTACTATTTAAAAATGTATTTATTGCTTTTCGAAGTATTCTCCGCGAAATTTGACACATTTTTCCATACGATGGAACCAATCATTGAAGCAACCATTCCATTCGGAAGTTGGGATCTCCAAAATGGCCGTTTTGTAGGCGTCCACAGCTTCTTCAGGTGAATAAAATCTCTGTCCACGCAATTTATTCTTTATTTTAGGGAAAGTATAGAAATCATTAGGGCTTAGGTCGGGGCTGTACGGCGGATGGTCTAATAATTCTATGTTTTCTTGCTCTAAAAAACTCTTTTGTTATGTGTGCGGTGTGAGAACTCGCCATTGTCGTGATGGAGGATGATGCGGCGGTTGCAGTTCTCTTTACGGAGTTCAGAAACGACCTGTGGTAAACAAATGCTAGCATACCATTCTGCATTAACCGTTCATTGTCCCTCAAGAGGAATAGTCGTAACATGGCCTCATTTTCGAACACCCAAACTCGTGACTGGTTTTTCGTTTCGGGTTCGTACGCGTATATCCAGGATTCGTCACCTGATACGATGTTCTATACAGCATTTGAGGATCCTGCGTAGAATTTTTCTAGAGTTCTGACGCACCAAGTAACGCGAGCAGCTTTTTTTTCTTCACAGAGCGAATGCGGTATCCATCGGGAAAACAACTTTTTTCACCTAAATGTTCACGCAAGATTATTTGTATTTAACTCATGCCAATGTCTAAAGCTGCCTGAATTTCGCGGTGTGTCACATGTCGATCTTCCTCAATCAGCTTACGCACAGCATCAACGATTTCTTCGGTGACTGCAGTTTTTGGACGACCTTGACGGGGATCATCACTGAGCTTGACACGTTCACGTTTAAATTCAGAAAACCAGCGATAAATTGTGGTTTTGGATGGGGCTTCATCACCAAATGCAGAAATCATCCGGTCAACACACTTTTTTGTGATAAGCCACTTCGAAAGTCATAATAAATTTTCTCGAGTCAATTCCATTTTCTCAACGACTAAACAAGTTTGACAAAACCTTGCGACAAGACCGAGAATCTTTTTTTAAATAAATAAATGGTATTCGATTTTTAAAACCAAGGAGTTATCAATTAAAAAGATTTTGATATGACAGGAACAGTGGAAATATTAAATTCCCGATACTTTTAATACAGCCTAGTAGCTAAATGTTTTCTAGCACGATTAAACGAACTTCTCAGAGAAGTTCTATCAGCATTACATGAGTCATTTTATTTGTTGATTTAGATGTTAAATAGGTATATGTATTTATATACATATATAATTTTAACAGGTAGTCGTTTTATTGTTCAAGCATGGCTTCGCACGCTTTTTATAATTTTTAAATATCGATTAGTCAATCGATTTCCCTGTCGGTTACTTTTCTTTCCCCACCATACTTCGTTCCCTTCATCTTGCTTCATATTTCATACATTATAAGTCGGTAAATATATTCTTTATTCGGCAAACCCCTTGAGGGCTAGAGCTAAATAACATAATTTATATCTACTAATATATAGTGCCTCATACATTACTGATTGAACTTAAATTAGAATATATAATAATACATGATCAAATAAATGTCTACAAATGTTCTATATATTTACCGACCTATAATATCTGAGCAAGATAACGGGTACGAATTATGGCAAATCGACAGCTAAAAATCTGAAAAAAAAAACGTAAGAATTATTATCAACACAAGGACTACCTGTTAAACTATATATGTTTATTAAATACATGTATCTAAGATATATATTTTCGAATAACGTGAGCAAAAAATATCATTATATTACACTCATGGAGCATTATAGTCTGACTCTACCTTTATAAATGCGAAACTACGTAAACGGACTATAAATTTCATTAATCGTTACTTTTATTTCAAAAATGTTTACTAATCGTTAACATTCTTAGAAATTAAGGATGATTATTTATATTAAAATTATACTTTGTACAGATGGTAGATGTGATGGCATAGAGGCTGTTATGTGCTGTCTAACATGCAGTGCGGTGGCCTCAACTTGCTGTGTTTGGTATTTTGCTGCTTGCAAACTGCTACAGGTAAAATCTCTTTATGGTTTTAATTTTAAATTTAATTCAGGTTACAAGTGTGGTCTGAAAAGTTTCCGACCTCAACGTGAAGATGGTAGCACTCTTTAATAAAAGCTGGTGAATATAGTGGTGCATCTTTTGAAAGTTACGCACCAAAATTTCACCCATTTTGCCACAAATGTTACTTGATTGATCTCAGTCACAGTCGTTTGATTGAGTTAATGTGAGTGTTTTTGTGAAAATGGGAAAACTTGAGTATCGAGCATGTTTGTTATATATTAACTGTCAGCGCGTTGGCTGCCGCGTTTGTCCACGTTTGACCAAAACGTGTTCGAATGAATATTTTTAACGCAATAAATCCGAATTTTGGCGCAGAGTAATTACTGTCGATGAAATTCAGATACACCATTATATGCCCGAAAAAAATACAGTCAAAACAGTGCAACGCGGGAACCGGCTCGCTACAAAAAAAGCAAAAACTGTTTTTTCGTCTAGGAAAGTCATGGTGACTGTTTTTGGGATAATAATGGAGTTACCTTAGTCGATTATCTTCAAAAAGGTAAAACCATTACAGGAGCATACTACGCACACCTCAGCGGTTGCCCTGACGAAAATCCATGAATTACGGTTTGAACTGCTTGATCATGCATCTTACTCACTAGATCTAGCCCCAAGCGAATTCTTTTTGTTCCCTCATCTAATAATTGCGCTCAGAGGACAGTGATTTTTGTCAAATGAGGAGACACTTCGTGAACACTTGTTTTTCAGAGAAAAATGCCTAGTACTATTTGGATGGGTTAGAAAGATGCGAACATCGCTGGGAGAAGAGTATAGAATTACAAGAAGAGTATGTAGAAAAAAAAATGTCTTCTATCTTTGTAAGGTCGAAAACTGTTCACACCACCTACGATATTATTTCCTGTACTATCTCCTTTTTCATTAAGTCATAGCTTCCCTAAACAGACATTGTCTGAAAGAAATCGCTTTTAGATTGACAAGTCCGTCCGTTGCGCCATTTTAATATGGCGTTTTTGATGATTTCCATATTGCTTTACAATGAAATACTTTTAAATTAGTTCATCAAGAGCTTATTGGTATGGTTAAAGTAAGTTTCACTGGTCGTGTAGTGGTGGTTAAGAATATCCACTAACCCTTTTCTTCCCGTGGGTGTCGTAAAAGGCGACAGAGGGAAACAGGCAGGAGATGAGCAGCAGCATCTTCCTAATAACAGCAACTATATAACAAAAAACTACAGTTGCCAACCCGCTCTCCAAGCATGGTATATACCCCCTCATGAGCAAAGACGCAAATAGATGGTGCCTAGTCCCCAGTGGCCCCGCTATTCCTGGCTACGTTGGCGACCACAGTTACGGCAGGGCAGGGGCTGCTAGGAATCTCCAGTGGAGGTTCGGTTGCCACCTAAAACGACTCGACCTGGTAACATAAAACGTACGCACACTGAGGACCGACGAGAAGATCCTGGAGCTGGAAGAAGAGATAGACAAGCTGCGCTGGAATATTATAGGATTATCCGAGGTCAGAAGAGAGGGGGAGAAAACGGTGATTCTCGAATCCAGCAACTTATTCTATCACCGAAGGGACGACCATTTGTACCAAGGAGGTGTTGAATTTACCGTCAAAAAGTCTCTCGTTAACAACATTGTGAAGATTGGAAGTGTGTCAACGAGAGTTGTGTACCTTATACTCATAATCACCAAAAGGTATTTGCTGCAGGTCACACAGGTTTACGCACCAACGTTGGCATATTCTGATGATGAGATCCAGGAAATGTATGAGAATATTTCTAGAGCCATGAATTCCTCTAAAACCCACTATAAGGTGTTAATGGGAGACTTTAACGCAAAGCTGGGCGCAAAAAAGAACGGTGAGCTGAAGGTAGGGACATTTGGGATAGGGCAACGGAACCCAAGGAGCCAGCAGCTAGCCGACATCATGGAGAAAGAGGGACTCTTTATGATGAACCTTTCCTTCAGAAGCGGCCCACAGAAAGTGGACCTGGTCGAGCCCCGACAGTTCGACAAAAAATGCGATTGACTTAATTATGACGACTAGACGGCAACTGTTCAGTGATGTCTCAGTGATCGCAAGGATGAAAACTGGCGGCGATCACCGAATGGTTAGAGGCAAACTGAACCTAAACGTTAAGTTGAAGAGGTCTCGTCTAATCAAGTCAACGCTCCGTCCCCTTCGTACTCTAATCCAAAGACCCGAAACTTTTCAGCTCGAGTTACAAAACCGTTTGCGGTGCCTACTAGATTGTAATGCACTGAACGATATGAATTACACGCTCGTGGAAACTGTTCATGCGGTCGGAGCTAAGTTCTGTAAGATCCACCGCAGAAGGACACAAAAACTCTCCGATTACACTCTTAATCTCATGGCAGTTAGATGGGAGATGAAACTTCAGTCGTCAGCAGATTTGACAAAATACAGGCAACTGAACAGACAGATCTCCGGCAGGCGGCGAGACCTACGCAACTTTATTACAGCCCCTATTGAAGAAGCGATTTAGTGCAACCAGGGCTTCAAAGTCTTTGTCAGAGATCTGTCTGCCAGAAAGAGCCAACTGTCAATGCTAAAGACTGCAGCTAAAGGACAGCGAGATTTTGAGTGTAATTGAGAAGTTCTATGGGCAGCTGTGCATATCATCGTTGGAGACACACGCAAGTGTGAGTAACCATATGGCTCTCTAGCACCTTAACACGTCAAGGTCTCTGGCGAGGCTAGTATTACAGCGGAGCTTCTGAAGGCGGGTGAAACACCTGTGTTTAAAGTTCTTCAGCAACTCTTCGATTCCGTCCTCCATGGTGGCACTACTCCGGAGGCGTGGAGCAGAAGTGCGGTGGCTTTGTTCTTCGTTCGGTGATTTTCCTTCTGAGCCGCATCTAAATGCTGTTTCCGAGAGTCATTACGAATCGTCTCGCACGCAGACTCGACGACATCTAGCTTCCCGAAAATGCCGGTTCCCGAAAAGACTTCAGTACCATAGACCACATATATACCGTGCTGCAGATTGCACAGAAGACCGAAGAGTACAATCTGCCACTTTGTCTGGCATATGTGGACTATGAGAAAGCCTTTGATTCCGTCGAAATTTGGTCGGTGCTACAGTCTCATCAGCGGTGCCAAGTGGACTATCGGTACATGGAAGTGCTGAAGTGTTTGTACAGTAGGGATGCGATGGTTACACGAGTGCAGAACCAGAGTACAAAACCTATCCAACTGCAGAAAGGTGTAAGACAGGGTTACGTTATATCCCCGAAACTCTTCACCGCTGCATTGGAAGACGTTTTCATGCTACTGGACTGGAAAGAATACAGTATTAATATCAATGGCGAAAACATCACTCACCTTCTATATGTCGACTATGAAGTCCTTATGGCAGAATTGCTGAAGGCACTAAGTACTATGCCTATAGTGTCTCCCAACTGATAGATTTTAAGATGAACATGGACAAAACAAAAGTCATGTTTAATGCCCATGTCACACCTATGCCGGTAGTTGTTGGGAGCACTAAGGTCGAAGTTGTTGACAAGAACGTTTACCTGGGACAAATAGACTTCAACCGAGAGGTCTATCAACGGATTCAAATCAGCTGGGCAGTGTTCGGGAAATTACGACACATCTTTTCGTCAGGTACCGCAAAACCTGAAAATTATGTGATGCTGGCCGTATGAGGACGCTCAAGGTTACTCAGCGAGCTATGGAGAGGGCTATGCTTGGGCTTTCTTTGCGTGACAAACTTAGAAATGAGGATATCCGCAGTAGAACCAGAGTGAATGACATAGCCCAACGGATTGGTAAGGTGAAGTGGCAATGGTCCGGTCATATAGCTCGAAGAACCTACAACCGATGGGGAAAAAGGTTCTCGGGTAGCCTTTAGCCTCGTACTGGGTAGACGTAGTGTAGGGCGACCCCCACTAGATGGAGTGACGAACTGGTAAGACATGCAGAAAGTCGATAGATACACTGGTGGCTCAGGTGCTTTGTGGTATTCCTTGGGGGAGGCCTATGTTCAGCAGTGGACTTGTGAAGGACTGTAATGATGATGATTATGAAGTTTCACTGATCAATGGTTTAAAAACGTTGTGCCTCTGTATTTATTGGACTAGACTAATTTAGATTAGATTTGCGTCATCAATCTAATCGGTAATCCGCAAAACTAATATAACAATCTAATTCAAATTCTTATATATTGTCACCACCTACACATGATTCACGATTTATTTATTAAACACTTAGCTCACCCTATTAAAAAAGCGAAACATTATCAAAAGTTGAAGATGGTTAAGATATTAATATTTTTTTATAATATATGGGTTACAAACAAGCGTACATCCCTCCTGATGTAACTGGATGCTATGACCCATATAAATCTTCAGTTATCATCGAGTCAATCATCATCAGGTCCGTTGTCACCCCTGAGAACTAAAGTGAAATGCCTTATTTCCAATCCAAAAAAAGAAAAGGTTCCTGTTCTCTACACTCACCATAAGAAACTCAGCATCATCAAGTTGCTATTTTACGCTGGTAATCTATGAAAGCGTGGTAATAGTAATAATATTTTTTACTCTTTGTGAAAAAACAGAGAATTTGAATTTTGTATTTAATATTTTTAGATACTCAACATATTTCAATAGAGAAATCAAACAATGACATTCATGATCGTATGAATAACGAAAGGGATGGTCTTGCTATATCTAGAGAAATATTCAGGAACATTACAAAAAAACTACGTGAAAATTTTCAAAGTGAAGTAATTACTGATTTAAATCAACATCAAATGCAAGGTAAAACGTTCTTAATACAAAAAGATATAGAATCGAGTAATTTTTTACAAAAAGATAGCCATAACGCACAAAATATTTTATTTTTACATTTAGTGTTGCCATCGCAGCCTTCCTTTATCATCTGAAGCAGTAAAATTAAATAGCGATATTTAGTTTGATTTTGCGGTTTTATTTTATCTATACATTGGCATGATATTTTATATGTAAACATAAAAAAACAGTGTTTCTTTTATATTTTCTGGTAGTTGTCCTAGGATTGCTAGATGGTAAGACGTCTGTTTACTTAGGAGTCCATCTGGGTAAATACCACCCTTTTACCTATTTATTCCGACAAATAACAGTGCTTACACTGCTGTGTTTTGGTCCGAAAGATACAGGGAATCGGTATAGTAACAGTCTATTAGGTATTTTATCTTAGTATACAGAGGTGATAACGCATCTGTAGTCTTTTTTGTTTGAAGTTGGCTGCAGGTGTCCTTGGGTTGCAGTAGCCACTTACCATCAGGTGGACTGTTAGTTCGTTTACCAATATAGTATGAGAAATAATAAGAAAGTATTAACCATATTATATTATATAAGCATAAGTAAAATAGGTAGTCAGTAAATAGAGTCCCACTGGTGTGCACAAACTTTCTCTTATTTCCGAGTGGGTTTTAGAGCAATAGAGTGCCAGATTAATATTTAATTGTACCTTTCCAACACAGGCGCAATTAAATAATAATCAAATAAATCTATGATGCACTGAATATAGAAAAGTTTTGCTTAAGATTTTACATATTTATTTTAAATGTGACATATATTTACAGTGAAGGTAGAAGGACATCGTAACTATGCCCCTTATCAAGGATATCATCACCACGAGCAACATTGGGGACCGTATTTTGAGGAAAATAACATCACAAAAATGATAGCACATGTTGGATCGGAAGCTTTATTAAATTGTCGTGTCGTTATGCTTAAAGATAAGACGGTAATTTTTACTTTTATCACTTTTTCGAGTACTTCTGTAAAATTTTTGTAATAAACTCTAGAAATTAAATAAAGGAATTATTGCGTAAAGATTGTTTTGGTTCAAATTAAATATAATATTAAATAAATTTCATGAATGCTCTGTAGACGGTAGCACACTGTTCGGATCCCACACAGAACGACTATTTGTATGTACACAAATAATTCTTTCAGGTCTGAATATTTCCCTTAAGCAATTTAGGCATGTGAAACCCACTTCCATGATGTAGGCAAAATTCCTAGCGTTCAAATAACGTTTTGTATAAAAAAAATGTAAAGAGAAACTAAAGTATCAATAAACTAAAATGAAAATAAGCCAAACACTAATCTCGAAAAATCCGACACCGGTGGAGAAAGGCATTGTCAAGTGGCAGTCTCAGGCCGGCAATTTTAAAAACGTTTAAGGTGGCAAAAGTAGGGCGATTGATGCAGTTGGCTTTTGACAGTATTTATTGGCCCACTGCTTTGTGAAAATAGCCCAACTTCTGCAGTGCACTTGCATTTGACTGCATGATATATGATGTTAATAATGACTATGAGATTAGTACACATATAATTTGATTTTTGACCGAGCTCAGTGGCCTACCGCTTAGTAAAAATTGCCTAACTTCAGCAGTGCACTTGCAATTGACTGTATGATTGATGATGTTAAATGACCATGAAATTAGTATACATATAATTTGATTTGTATCACACACATTTTTGTTTTATGTTTTATTTTATTTTATGCTTTTAATACAACATTATGAGCGTAAAAATCTAATATAAGCAATATCTTGATCTTATTTATTTCACAAAGGTTATGTGGCTACGTAACACTACTGACGCCGCTCAGTTACTGACAGTTGGAAAAGAGGCACATACGGGCGATAATCGACTATCAGTTAAGTTCCAATATCCAAACAATTGGCGAATCAGTATAAGCCCTGTGAAGAAATCAGATGAGGGGCTTTACATGTGCCAAATATCAACACACCCACCAAGAACCATTTATACAAATTTAACTGTTTTACGTAAGTTTCCTTCAAACTAAGAACATATTTGTTTTAGCTTCACCTGATATGAAACTATTTACTTATTTTTACGTTACAGCTCCTGTGTTAACTATAAACGGGGATGAAATGCATGTGGTCAAAGATAGATTTTATAAAACTGGCAGCTCTATAAAACTAACATGTGTCATTTCGGAAGAATATGTAAAGTCAATGAAAGCTGAACCTCTAATAATGCTAACAACTACGCAAATGACCACTCCAGTTACGGCTACTACTGAATCAACTGTTGAAACCACTACCGTATTTAATAAATTTGATTTGCTACTAAACAAAAGTTGGAGTATAGCAACAACAACTATTGCTTCAACAATTAGCATAAGTCCGACTATTAAGACGATATTAGAAATTCAAAAAACCACACCGAAGTCAACCCCTTTAAAAACTACTCAACCATCACATAATATTTATGGACTTAGTTGGACAAAGCAAGGAAAGAGTTTTTTCGGAAATATGATTTGGCGTAATATAAGGCAAGTGGTACAGAATTTTACGAGCTGCTATTAGTGCAATTAAAATTTCTGTTTGGATTCAAAGATAGAATATTTATGATTCATACATCCTTCACCTTATTTATTATAAAATACCGTTTTATTTCAGTTCGACAATAAGTATTTCATCTGCGTCACAAGAAGATAGTGGATTGTATACATGTCATTTGAAAAATCATTCGCAAGTTACTACAAATGTGCAAGTTCTTATTGGTATGTAAATTGCTTTCTTTTATTATTTTAATATGCATTTATTAATATAATACATTGCAGCCTATAGAAAGTCCTTTGCTGAATATAAGCCTACCTCATAGCAGCTTCATAGACGGGATGTTGGCCATATTGCTTGGCGAACGGGCTAGCAACTGCAGTTTATTCTTATTACTTTGAGTTGCAATCTGCTTCGCATTTTGTGTTTCAGTTACTTGTGTTGACAGCTACTAAACGACATTTTTTACAATATTTAATTTAAAATGTTATGCGCTACTTAATTATCGACTATTAATACATAATTGTTTTTGCAATTTAATCATTTTACTCTAATGCTTGGAATACTAATTGTATAGAAATTTTTGAAGCATACATTAATTACGAAAAAATATATTTATAGGAGAAAATCAAGCGGCTGTTCATCATGATACGTGGAACAAAGGATCATTATATTGGCATCCACATAACAAGGCGATACTTTTTGTATTGTTTTTATTAATCTTGACTTAAAAACACTTCGAACTGAAACGATTACTCAATTACTTGACTTAATTTTTATTAAAATATGAACAAAAATAATACTCAATGTGCAATCTTACTTTAAGTTTATTTCATTATAGTGGTTTGTAAACCACTTAGGTAAGGCCTAGATAGTTATAAATTTTAGGACATAATATTATTCGTGTAAGTTTTTACTAAATTCGTAAAGAGTTATTATTTTTAAAGAACGGACCAAAAAGTTACAGAAAAAAATTCTAGGAATAAGTGACAGTTATATTATGTTCAGCTATTACTTAAGGTTTGTTTTACGTAATTAATTAGCCAAAAGGGAAATTGTTTGTATAAATCTAATTGAGAGTTGAAAATAACATATTTTTAAGTCATATGCTAGAGTAACTAAATGTGATTAATAATAATCATATTAATGTATATAGTTGGAAATTATCGATAAGAAAAAGTACGAATTTTAATGTTTTGTCTACAAATAAGGTTTAATATGCGCACATAAACACGAATATGCTGTAACATATACATATACTTATAAATTATGTTATATTGTTCTAATTCATTAAAGCTGCCAAATTTATTATGAATACGAATGTGTATCAAATATCTGCCGACATAAAACTAATTAATGTGTTGATATGCGTTTCTGATATTAAGTAATCAGGAATACAGTGTTAATAAAAGTATACCTCATTCATAACATATTATTTATTTGATGCTTATATTGGTACAGCTTATATTATATGGTAAAGCAGTAATGTTTCAAAAAAAAACCGATTTTGCAGTTTCATATAGATTTTTATTTAAAATAGCTTTTGACGGGTGAGTGGTGCAGTGGCTTGGGAATGAGTTGCAGCTCTGGAGCCGCAGGTTTGCACGAAGCAAGTATTTCCATGGCCTATAAATAATTGTTTCGGGTCGACTTATCGTATCGGTTCGGAAATTGGTCCGGTGGAGGTGGAAAATCAAATAGTGGTAAACCGCTAAGCAACCAGAAGATGTGGTTGAAATCAATAAAAACAATTACGAAGCACTCTCCTTGGAAAATGAGATAAAAATACCAACCGATGCAAAAATTCTTTACAACACCAATAAAACGAACCGATAATAAAATCTGTCTTCAATGATTCAGGCAGCCCGTCGTCAGGAAAATAAGCTGGCACAGGGAGGTCACGGTCCAGAGATTATAACAGTATACCAAGTAAAGTGTGGAGTGTCGGCATTATATACTGTCCCGCTCTACTTCTAACACATATAGTGTTAGAAGTAGAGCGGGCTAATATAGGATTATCGTATCTGTATCGTCTCGTGCCTTATAATAATTTCTCGGGGCTAATAAAAATTAAACTACTGTTTCTGATATAGAATATAACATTACTTTTAAAATATATTATATATTTTATATTTTTTTACCTTACGAATATAAAAATAAACAGAACAATTTACTCGACTGTACTATGTAACTATAAATAAGCTATTGCGTTTGTCTGGTCTGAGCTATTACTTAAATTAAGTATGATTATAATCAACAAGCACTAAAGTAGTATTGCGTCATCAACCTCTAGAAAATTAGAGGAGGCGTGTGCCCAGCAGTGGAATGTTTATCGGCTGTTACTTTAATTTTATAATGAGAAAATACTGTATTTACAGATATCCCACGATGCCCTTACAGAAAATACAACAGGAATAGGCCAATTTTTGTAAAATATATTTAATCAATATATTCACCTAACCTATTACCTCTTCGCTTTTGAAGATATCTTCTGCAAAAATATTTTTCTTACGACTTAATTTAGAATAGAATAGAATAATTTTTATTTAATGTATATTACGAATAATACTAGCTACTTTTACCACTGGTTCGAATACCTCTGCTATAATAGTGTTAAATATATGATATTGATGAAAGGTTCAATACGAGTATCTTGCTGATTATGATTAGGTACAGTAAAATATTTTGATTGTTTTCATTATTAAAAATAAACTTAAAGTAAATGTTAAATTTGACCCAAATGATATGCGCTTGTCATTGGCTTGAACATTTAGTCAGCAGCTTTGTACTACAACCACAATAATACACAAACGGAGAATTAGAGATATGGTAAATGTCTATATAATTTATATATTATTAATTATTAGAGTAATTATATGAATGCAAAAATAAATTATGTATTCAGCTAAGATTTGTCGAAAAATAATGCAAAGAATTAATGAAATGATTGAACGAGTGAAAATTCAGTAATATATATTTTCATTCATTTCTCTCTCTCTTCTTAGTAATGTTTAACCCTAGACGCAAACAGAGGGGTGTTATAAATTTAACGTTTGTATCTCTGTATGTGTATGTTTTTTTTATAGAAGAGGGGGCAAACGAGCATGCGGCTCACCTGATTTTAAGTGACTACCGCCGCCCATGATCAACCGCAACACCAGGGGAATTGCAGGTGCGTTGCCGGCCCTTTAGAAAGCTGTAAGCTCTTTTCTTGAAGGTCCCCAGGTCGTATCGGTCCGGAAAAATCGCCGGTGGTAAACTATTCCACAGAGAGGTCGTACGCGGAAGAAAACTCCTTGTGAAACGTACAGTGGTGGACCGCCAGGCATCCAGATGGTGTGGATGGTATCGGGGCGTTTGCCGCGTTGTATGTTTGTATGTGGTATCGTAAATCCCAAACTATTGAACTTATTTTACTTCAGCTTTTTTAATTTAAATGTGACTTGTTCGAGAGTATTCTTAGATTCGGTTTAAATAAATCTGTTCGGCTGTGTGAAAACTATTACTTTTTTTTGTAGCTGATGAGAGCAACTTCTACAGATCTGATTGATTCGAAATGATACTTCCATAATATTGCAAGATCATGGTAACATTGAACTGATACAAAAACATCTCCTGGAATCTACATGATACCTAATTCTTAACCAATTTTTAGCAGTGGTATCGTATTTGGGCTTATTAGAAGGATCAGGGTCTGATGATGGAACAAACGAGAGAAATGAGGATAAATTTTTGGGAGATTCCAAGCTACTTTCACTCGATATGATATTTTGGTATACGATGTAAATAAAAAAAATGGATGAATGAATGGGATTGAACGTATTTTAGAATTTTTTGCTGTCTTAAATTTTTCATTTAATTTTTATTTATAATTCTTCATGTAGAATTCGGTCATAGATCATGAATTATTTTATAATGAGACTTAACACCATTATAGTTATATTTCTTACAGGCCCTTGTCAGAAACTCTTTATATTGATATCATATTCTATTTTGTTATTAATACAAAAGCCTAACATAATAGACCATTGAAATATTAAAAACAAGAAGCAGAAATTTTGTATCGTTAAGAACGTGCTTTAACCTCTGTTACTTTCTCTTTTTCTTATTATAAGTCACAACTTGACTACTTAATGGTAGGTGGGCTTAGCCTAACATTAAATTATAAAACTGTTACATACATATATACATATACACTAACGCCTGTTATTCAAATGGGTAGGCAAGACTACGGAATTCCACTTCACACGATCTTGATACACCTCCCTCCCCTACTTTACATCCTATACACATTTTTCTTTTACGTTACATTAAATCAAATTAACGGAGAGCGCTCCCCCTAAATTTCTACGGATATCAGAAATCGGAGGAAGTCAATTACCAGTTGTGCTACGTAAATAAGTATAACTTAACATTTTTAATTTAGAATATATAATAAAAAAAATTCATTTTAGAAGTAGATTCTCCAGATTAAAAAATATTCAAGTTTGATTAAATAAAATAATATAATAAATAAAGAACTATTCTCATTTACAATGCCGAGAGAACAACTAAGGTTATTGACCGCCAACAAGGGCAGTGATGCGCAGGGCATTTTGCTCTGCGATTGCCAACCCACTTGGCAAGGGTTATTGGGCAGTGAAAAACGTCTAGGGAGTACTGGGATCTCGAGGTTAAATTGTAAAATGTCAATATTAGAAACTACGAGTATGTTAGTCTAAGCCCTTGAGCTTTTTACGTGTCGGTTAAATTTAATTTTCCAAAAAGGGATAATATATCTGTTCATTTAATAAAGATTATTATTAAGATAAACATAGAATAGGTATTGTAAGACGTAACTTTGAGAAATATAACGGGTAAATACCTTAGAAGCTTTTCCGTAAAAAGCTATCCTGTGAAAAATTTGTTCACCTTAAGCTTTATTCTCACTAGTTTTTATGGTATACTTGAATTAGATTTTTGTAAAGAAAAAAAAATGATAAAAGTAAAATAAACGATTACAAAAATATGTAAACCAACGAAGACCGCAGTATATTTTTCGTTTAATAAATACCTATCTGCCTTTATTCTCAAACCCTCATTACTACGTTGTAATAAGCGATGAAAACAAAATTGATGGGATTGCCTGTAGACATAATTTTATTATTTTCTTTTTAGTTCACAATCAGGCCCCTGTCAATATGTGTAAGAATAAGACTCAGTGATAAAATTGACAGATTTAGGTACTTTACAGCGATCCAATACATATAAGATTGGAAATAACGTTGCTAACTAGAATTCAAAAAACTATTTTTCGATGTATGGAAAAATCGATAACAATTATAACCTCCAGACCATAATTGTTGTCACGATGGCCAGTATCAACGAGTAACGGAGTCTAGCATCTGCACAGGTCAGGGTTATAGTGCAAGAGTTTTTGCACAAGTACACATGTTGGTACTCTTTGTTTCCTCACTCTCATAGGTCGGTGTGATGAAAATCCGACACTATCGGAGAAAGAGACAGGCGAAGGACAAACAACTTTACCCAGTTTTTTTTTAAAGAATAAATCCAATAACTAATTTTGATACGACCCGGAAATCAGATCCGTAATTATTAGTCGCGCTATGAACACTAGACTTAAGAGGAAGTTCCTCACATAAATATAAATGCGTTCGAATAAATGTTGAAATTAACAATATGTACATAAGCAGCTTATAAATTTTAAATATTATTAAAGTGAATTAAACTT